ATATAAATAGTTCTCATTATAAAATATGTAAAATATATTAATTCCATTAATTTACATTAATTAATCTGTAAATTAATTTATGGATTTATGTATAATTATTTGAATATGTTTAAATAATCATATTTTATATAAATGTAAAATTAATAGATATTAATCTAAAATAGATTAATATACAATTGTATATTTATATAAAATATTAATATTTTATATTAATTAAAATGCATTATTTTATATACAAATTTTTTTATATTTAATTTTTCACTTTTTTATATTATTTATATTTTTATGTCTAAATATAACACATTTGTGAATTGTAAAGTATATGACATTACAATAATGAGAATGGAGGTAAATGTGCTTAATTGTCATGAAAATAGTGTCACAAAAATGGTCTGAATGGTCTTTTTCAGGCAGTGAACAGGTTTAAATCTGAGACTACACATGTGTGTGGACTTCAGAGAGTGTTTGAGTGTTTTAAGGAGGTGTGGCGTAAGATCTGACAGGAAAACCAGACTTCATGGTGGCTGTGTTTGTTTTTGCTGGTTCTGAGGAAAGCCTGCATTTCCACTCAGCGTTACACAGCTTCTCTCTCTCTTACTCTCTATTCTCTTCTGTCCACAATCATACTATTTAAATGAGCAATATCTTTTTGAGTATATTTTATTAATTTTTATTTTTTATTTTTTATTGCTATATATTTATATTATATATACTTAAAATAATATATATGTGTGTCAATTAGCATGACATAATTAACTAATGACATCAGAATTAATCATAATTTAGGTAGCAGTGCTAAACACCAATATGAACAACACCATCTATGTAAATACATCACAACAGCGTATTCCAGTGAACCAGAAAATCATTTATTTGATCAGTGAATCAATCATTTGACAAAAATGAACTGATTCACTAGAACAAGCTGATTTAATCGTTCAGTCACATGATGCTACTTTGTTGGAAACATATAGAGTTGCTGTTAATATTACTAATATATGTATTTTAAGTTAATCACATTGCTACTTTTAGTTAGCTTCAGCCCAACATTAGTCCACTCAGAGATGGGCAAATCTCACATATTGTCCTGCTCACAGACTGTTTCTGTGACATGCTGCTTTAATAGTGGTAGAAATCTGTCTGTTATTGACTTTGTGTATCAGCCAATCAAAATATTTGAGTGAGATGTTTATTTTCAGCAGAAGCACCAGCTGTGGCCTGAATAAGAGCATTTATACTGAAGAATTTATCATTGTGCGGCGAAAACCAGAGAGAGACTGAGAACAGCGTGTTATTAGTGGTGTTTGCTAAGACAAGCATCACTGTTACTACTGCTCGTGCTTACGGTTATAGGGATTTATTCAAGCCCCTTACCTCAACTATTAAACTTTGGCATTACAGACATGAATGATATTTCAAATTTAAAAAGAAAAATCCCATAGACTTGCTTTTGTCTTGGACTAGTAGTGAACCACCCAAGAAAACACACACTACGTTTTGCATGGACAAGCACCGCTCACATTTTTCTCAGAAAATGTAAAAATCTACTCGCATATGTCTCATATCTCATATGTGTATGTGTGTTTGTCGCAACGATTAGCTTGTAACAACTATCTCATCTCGGTCTGAGAGCAAACAGGATTTATTTGCATGTCAAATTGGCAGTTCAGTGCACTGATGCACACACACACACACACAAACATACTCTATAATTCCCAAAGTATCTTATTTTAGACTCATGCAGTGACTGGTGTGTGTGTGTGTGTGTGTGTGTGTGTG